CACTATTTCTTTTAACACATGACCATACAGCAGCTTAAAGGGAAACTGGTTCGCCTCAGCCTTTTATTGTAGCTTTGAAAATAATGTAATGGGGTTTTTCATCAAGAGAGTGATGAATCACAGACCTCCTGTACATTAATCTCACCTGTAGTAGGTACCAAACCAGTTGAGAGGAGTGTACAGCTGGATGATGTAGGTTCCAAACAGAACATAGTCTCCGACCTGAGGAAGAGTTAACACATACAGCTACTGAACATTAAGCTACAGAGACAACCTGGTCCTATAATAACTGAAGGTTACTGTAACCAACTGGGGACAAACACAAAAGTGAGACACACAAACACACACACAGGTGATCACAATTTAACTGTGGCTTCTAAAGCAGACTGGCTGCACCAGTGATAATTTATATGTGTCCTAAGGTCATATAACCAAGGTGGCGTACGTCCTGTTTAATTTTCTGACATGAATGATTCTCATGTCCAAGTCTCTAAAACTATGTCACAGTCCTGGTTGAGTCATTGTAGTCAGATCTGAGATCTGAATTACCAAGGCCACAGGTAAGTCATGTCATGTCTGATCTGATTCAGGTCATGTGTGAGTCAGTGAGGTCATGTCTTTGTCGACATAATGTCTGATTTCTCTAAAAACTTGGGATTTTAACCAGATGGACGTGGCCCTGATTTGTTGTTTTTGTTCAGGCCCGGTGGATTCTTGCAAATGCCATTAGGAGTATGAAGAGGAACCTGATTTTTTCACACATAATCTGTCTCATGTTCTACTCTCAGGATAAAGTGAACGTTTAAGGAAATATGTCAATAGTTACTTACTACAGCTTTAATAAAGCACTTTGTAATTCACGGTTAGGTTTAAGTATTTGCTAACTTATCCAAAAAGGGAAGAGACAACGCAATGCAAGGCTTCAAAAACATGCATTAGACACACAACAGTCTGTGTGACACAGGATGTAAGGCACAGCCCCCGGGAGTAATACCAAGTTTCCCTAGGAGTCACTCTCAAGTCTGAGTCATATGGTCAAGCAAATGGCACAGTCACAGAGGTCATGTTGAAGTGAACGGGATGATGTCCAAGTCATCACAGTCAAGTCAGAGACACAGAGGTCATGTCTAAGTCATTGTGGATCTGATCCATGTCAGTGAAGTTTACTACTCAAGGTGAACTCTCAGTGGGATCAAGATCTTAATACTGATTTTTAACTTGGATTCTCCAGGCTTTACACTCTTCTCTCACCTGGAATTGTCCCTCAGAGACCAGGTAGGCACAGAGCAGAGAGCCAGCCAGCAGTCCTGATCCTATGATGATGTTCTGGGTTTGATTCAGCAGAGCCAGGGACGCTGAGCTCTTCCACTCACAGTGCTACACAAACGCAACCAGCACACATACAAAACACAATAACAAAACAAATATAGAAAAATAACTTAATCAATTTTCAAGGATTTGAATTGTTTTGAACTGAAGCATACTAGCAGGGTATTTTACATCCACATGTGAAAAGCAGATGTGAGTTGTCTATCTGCTATCGTAACTGTTCACTTACCTGATATTTCAGAATGGCTTCCTCAAAGCAGCGGACTTCATAATCCTCAGCATTGTAATATTTTACCTGTGAAAATACATCAAATACAGCAAAGCAGAGAGTGAGGACTGAAACACCCCGAAATTACCTGCAACTGAAATATCTTATGTTCTAAAAACATCTGGAAAACACTACAAGTGGAACGTCTCAGAAGATCCTGGATGTCCCAGAGGGACAAATGTACCAATGTGGGATTCCTTGTGAGGCTACATGATAGGTGGATGTTTTTATAAGCACGACAGACTGCACCTGGGCACAGCTGGATGGGACGTTGGGTGTGGTTTACTCCATTAGAGATACAGTGTGGAGGTATTTTTTAGCCGTAAAATGAACAGGAAGTGTGTGGCGTTATCTACCGTCTCAAAGTTGAGCAGTGAGTCTACGGCTCTGGACTTGGCCTTGTTGTCTTGATTGTTCATCTCTCTCCTGTATTTGGTCCTCCACTCTGTGATCAGGATGGTACAGGCTGCAGATATATGGTACAGATTGGTTGATATCAGTTTGGAGCTGCATTTGACATGTCACGAAGCAAGAGGTAGGACCTACAATCATTTTTACAATTTACATATTGTACATGGAGTGTTTATTTATTTGGTCTATTCTAAATTAACCAAATGGAACTGAGTTTTGGGTTACACACTACAATAACTGAACCTTTCTAGGCAGCTGGAGATCACAAAATCACAAGCTAACCACAGTGGTTTGGGCCAATCAGGAACTACTGGCAGCTACAGCATGAACTACTGGCGTGGTTTTCACAACAACAATGGCGGTCAGTGTATATGAAAGTGCCTGCCCTTTTCCAAATAGTTTCCAACAATTATTTCACTGATGGTTCTGTGTAATAAACCATCTAGCGCAAGTTAAAATTACCATTGCAATACCAGCATACACCTGTCCCTTCTTCTATGGAGGCCGCCATGTTGAAAAGACTTGTTTCTACAGTAGCCCAGAACGGACAAACCAAATGCTGGCTGTAGATAGGGCCGCCCCCATTGTTTCTCCTACACACTTGGAAGGTGATCAGTAATCGGTTATTTGCCTGCCAGATGCTACTAAATCCTCCACAATGGTCCTTTAATTATATGGCATTATTGCGATTTAAGAAATGGTTGTTATAATGACAACCAAAGAAAGGATTCCATGAGGAAATCAACTTGGATAATTTAAAATTAATAAGATATCAAAGTCTAGATGAGCAGAAAAATGACTAAAACAAGAGAAAACACACGCTCACACTCATACACACACACATGGACTCACTGAGGTAGACGACCATGCAGGCGAAAACGATGAATCCAAACCAGACACTGAAGTAGGAGACGAAGTAGATGATGGCAATGATGATGTCACAGATGGTGGGAAGGATACTGAACAGGATGTAGCTAAAGACAAAAACAATCACCCACTGTTACTCACCCACTATATTTGTTGTTTACCATAGTCACATTGAACCCGAGAAGAAACTCGTCATGTTTTGGTAACTGAACCCCGCTCATGTGAGGCTCAATGTCTCCACCCGTCTGCCTTGTCCCGTCCTACCTCAGCAGGTTGTTGATGGAGGAGGTCCCTCTGTCGACGCTCCTCAGCACGTCTCCGGTGCGTCTCTCCAGGTGCCAGCGCAGAGACAAAGCATGCAGGTGGGAAAACAAACACACCTAAAGTGGGGAGGGAGAGGGACAGAGACTTCCACTCATGTGACTATAATACAACAGTTACTCACTGAGACCATGTCCAGTGTAAGCCCGTTACATCTGAGTTTTCTTTTGCTGTTCTCAGACAACTTCGCAAGCGTAAAATGATAACTCAGTCAAATGGATTTACTTTACTAACATGGAGCCATGGAAAACAGACGCAGACAGAACATCTGGCCACAGAGATTATCTCTCCAGCTTTCAGCCTGCTCAGAGGACAGTGTTCTATGGGTTGAGCTGTAGGGCATGGCAGGGCAAGTATCCACATACCCTGACCACGGTGGGATCCTTGCCCATACGTATGTTTGGAAACTGTAAGTGTGTAAAGAGTTTGTGGAAAGATTGTCTCAGTACAACAGAGAATGGAGGGTTAACCTGCAGAGGCTCAGCAAAGGAGACAAGGTGTGACTACTCTATTCAAGATGACAGCTGTAATCCACAGTTTTGTCAACCCAAAGAGGGAGAAGACTAACAGATTGTCCAGTGTCTTCCTGAATAGTTCTCACGAGTAAACAATGCTTTGTGCTTAACTAAATCACTTTAGAGAGGATGTTGTTAGTAGGGTTAAGTGAAAAAAGTATCCGGTACAGATAATGGACTTCAATGGTCTATCATCAGAATACAGTGCATCAATATCAGTACTACAACAACCAAATCTGTAGGAAAAACAACTCAGAAAGTCGGACATTAAAGTGTAAGAATGAAAAGACCCAGGAAACATACAGAAGACAAAGTAAAAGAAGAAGAACTGAGTGGTACCTGAATGCCTCGGCTGGTAAACTGCTGAACTTTGATCCACATGAACTGCCGGAGGTTGCTGATGAACCCAGAGGTACCTACAAGGAGCAGAGAAGACATATTGACTTAAGCACACAGGCAGCTGCTTACATTCTATCACATACATTTTATTTTGTACACACATATTCCTCTAAATATGAACACACACTCGCGCACCTGCCCCTCCGCCCTGTAGGAACTTGAGCAGTGTGTAGATGCAGACGGTGGCGGTCAGTGAGGTCCAGCCCCCTCCTGCAGAGAGCTCATTCACTGTACACACACACACACAGATACACAGAAAGACATTTTCATTGTGACCATCATGAACTTTGGTTTTCACATTACAGCAGTGATAATCCTGATTATCTGTTGAACTTTCCCACAGTGGAAGCCAACCAAACACGCACACCAGGGGTGGAAAGTAACTAAGTACTCAAGTTTGTAAGTACAGTTTTAAAGGAACTTTACTTGCTTGCTGCTTTATACTTATACTTATACATACTACATTTATCTGACTTTACTACTGATAGAAAATCCCACTAAATTATGAATTGTATTTGGTGTATTGTTATAGGTTGAGATAAGACATGATTTATCCCTGTTGGGAAATTTATAAACTAACCAGAAGCACATCTAAAATCCTACTGATTACTTTTAGAGGCCAGACAGGTCTAGCACCTAGTTTTATTTCTGACCTTTTCCTTTCCTTTTTTTCCTTTTTTCCTCTGCAAAGGATTTTGGTTCCACGATGGAGGCTAAAGACTAAAGGAGACTGCTATATTAAAGCACCTGTCCTTTGGAACTGCCTACCTGAGAGAATAAATAAGCTAAATCTGTTTCATCTCTTAAATCCCAGTTAAATCCTGTGTGTTATGTTTTTAATCTCTTTATAATAGTATCTCTGATTGTTGGTGTGTTTTTGGTTACCTCTGTCTACCTCATATATTGCTTTTAATCTTTTTTTCTATGGCATTTTGGATTTTTATTATTAGTAGGGGTATATCATCACTAGCTGCAACATGAAAATGGTGAACACAATACGTATCAGTATGGAATCCAAGAACAGCCATGTTTGCAATTATTTTTAAGTTAATTTATCTTGTTATTTCTCTAGATAATGAGTTTATAACGACAAAACGGCTTTTGTTTTCTCAAGATCACAGGGTTATTATGGAGAACTGAAAAAAAAGTGTCTGGTTCATTTGATCACACCTGATTTCAGCCTTCAAGATCACTGTCAGGAGGAGAAAACAGTTGCTAGCAGAATGTAGATGAGAGTTAATTTAAACTATTAATTTCCTGCAGTGTGACAAGTGAGATTTATTAAATGAGCTCAAGATCACTGCAATGTTCTAATTCTGTTCATGCACTTTTTACTCATTTGGGTCAGTATTGAAATGAATTCCTTCATTCTATCTCTTGTTATTTATTTATTTTGAATTTATTTCAGTTTGTTAAGCAGCTAGCGACTGTGTAATTTTTCCCTATGGAAGCCATCCTATATTCACTACTACTGGAAAATTGTGCTGTGTTAAGCAACCAATATGAAATGTGGAAAGGCTATCTCGGGGTATCACAGACTATTCCTTTAAAAGTGAATTCCAAGGTTAAAGTCAAACGCTATGTTCTAAATGTGCAACATTTAATAAACATCACAGAATTGTGGGAAATGTACATAGAATTATTTTGGAGGGCTCTCATTTAGACCCAGCCCAATAAAACATGGTTACGCCCTTGATTATAAGTAACAAGAGGAAACAGCCTTTAGTTTTCTTGTGAGTTCGAGATAATGGCATTAAAAAAATATAATATAATTGCAATCATGGCTGTTCTTGGCTTTCGTACATCAATATTAAAATATACATTATTCTGCATAATGAGTACACTGTGCTAGTGAGTACTTCTTCCACCAATGACACACAAACACACACACACACACACACACACACACACACTGTCATCAACACATTCACACACTCCCCTTTTTGCCACACACACACACACTCTCATTCACATTCATTACCCTTTTTGTACAAGTTCTGGGAATCAGGAAGAAATGGAAAAACAGACAGAGATGAGGGGAGGAGGAGGAGAAGAAGAAAAACAGAAGACCCAGACAGAGATGAGAGAAAAGAAGGGAGAAAACAAGATATAAAAGATGGAGAGAAATGAATAAAGAAATGTGTATTCTACATTCTTTAACTTTCTAGTGTGTGTTTTCAGTGGGGGGTATTTTCAACTCTTTGGCACCGGGTCCTGGAGTCGGAGGGTGGGAGGCGGGGTCGGACCCAGAGACAAAACGTCCGTTGTACCGGTGTGTTAACTCCACGAAAAAGGCCGCTAATGCCGGCTAAGCATGACTGGCAGGAGGGGGTGACCTCCCAGAGAACCCTCCGCACACACACACATACACACCAACAACAACCCCCACCCCTCCGACACCCCTTCTACGCCTTCCTCATCAGACAAAGCAGCGCTCAGCTTCATTCTCGCAGCGCTGGCTCATACTTTCATGTTGCTCCAAAAGCCAAATGGGCAGTTTTTCTAAAGGGAAAAGTAGCTGAAGACAAACTGAATGCTGACTTCCTCTGAAGTGGAGACTTCTGGGTTGTTGCCTTGTGGTGGATGCAGTCCTGTGTACAAAACAGGGAACATAAGACCTTGGCAAATGATGACACCCCCTGAAAAAATGAAGGTTGCTTCTGCCTCCAACCAATCCTAAGATCTCATTCCACAGTAGCTGAGCTGTTGTATAACAAATGAATAAACCGGCACAAACTATTTTTGTCATTTCAACATCTAATTGGCTCATTTAGATTAAAATCCTGTACCTGATCATCACAGCCGGGCTGATTGTGTAAGGGCTGGACTGAGAGATTCTGTACTGAAGCTCCAGTGGATAACTGGCCATAAAGCCATAAAGGTAAAAATTTTCAAACCCAGCCCAGAAAAAGGTCTGGAAATCTTGCCCGACATTCATTAAAATACATCTTTACAAATACATATTGAAGCAAGAAAAAAAGAATCTGATGCATAAGAGTTTTATTGGAGTCAGCACACCAACAAAACAGTGAGTGTGGTTTCGGGACCGGACTGACTTTCTGCTCACAAACACCTTCTTATGTACTGAATTAGAACTCTTCCTTTGCTGATCATTCACCTGAAATTAAACCTTAAAAGGATTCAGAAACAATGATATAATCTCTTGAACAGGTTTCCCCCTAGTGGTTGGTTTTCTATATGCCCAAATTTGGATCTAATGCCATTTTTTTTAACATAGCGGAACTTGTCTTGACCTTATTTTTCTGTGGCTGCACCTGACATGATCTCACTCCTGGAAAGATGTCATTTTGGACTTCTTGACGAGTCTTATCAGCCCAGTGGCTTCTCTGATGACTGCAAAACTGCTGACAAAGCGTTTGTCGGCCCAACCTTGTTTCTTCTCCACTAGCTATTCTTGACCCTATCTCTTCTTCTTTTTAGGGATGCTACACACAGAGTCTCTCCATTCTGGACATAATTGTTTGCCAAACCTTTTTATTCCTAAACAGAGAACAGAAATGCTCTAAAAATACATTTTTTTGTGATTTTGAATAGGCAGCAACAGGGCACAACTCCTTCGCCATGGTTACTGGCTACAACTACAGCCTGCACAATACGCTACATGCTACATGCTACATGCTACACTATAGCTGTAGCAACCAATTAGTCCTCATCTCTCAGAGGTAAACTGGATCAATACTGTCCCTTGTGGCCTGAGATCAGAAAGTAACCACTGCAACTATGGTTGGCAAGTCAACAATTCCTCCAAAGGAAAAAAATTATCGGTTGTTTGTCCACTCTAGAACATCACATAGCAGCCTTATCTGATCTCTGTCAGCAGGATGATGTCCGTGACTGCCAAAACGTAACAAATCACCTGTACCATACACTACAGGTTGCTACTATCCAGCAACTCTAATCTCACGTAGCCAAATAGCATATAGACAAAATGCAATATGTTAAGTTAATATAGCAAGTTTAGCAAACTACTGTCATAAACTGTTTTTTCTTTGGCCCAATGAGATCAAATGAAGCAGCTGTTACTCCAAGACTGCAAATTTACAATAACTTGTTTCATTATTGTTTCCATTGTTGTAATTATTGTAAAAATAGGTATGGCCAAAGCACACATATTCTATTGCATTTGAATGCAATGCTTCTACGCATATGGCAATAAACTTGAAATTGTTGCCTAAACTTCCAGACAGAAGAAGCAACTGATAAACAGCTGCGTGGGGATCTTAACTGATTCTGTACTCCTACACTCAAATACATCATTCTTTGTATTTAGGGTTTAACACTAAAGCAGGGACACTGCTTGAGCTGGGGCAGCTTTCTCACAAACAGTTTCCACCTGGGCTTGTAGAAAAGGTTTGGGATAATGGTTGCACTAGAGGACAGCTCATACAGTAAACATGTGATCAATGACACAAAACACAATTAACTGTGGATGTACAATAGGCAGACTGTCTTTAAGCTCTGGTCCAACCTTCAATGACCTCACAACCCTGAGGGTAAGGACACAGGAGGAGACTACCCAGGAAGGAAGGACACAATCAATTAAGGGCATAAGGAAACAAGGGAGAGCACATTTCAAATCACTTGAGCACACTGCCATCTACAGTAAGGACAGTAAAATGCAGCAAATGGGCTTGGACAATAAGAGTTCAGTTGAGTTTTCCGACTTTTATATTATAATATTATACACAGAAAGAAATTAATTAAGTATATCATATTTTGATACTAAAATTTGATGCATACCTAAGTAGTTTAATGTAATTTCAGTGTTAAGTGCAATATATTATTCCATACTTTTGTTCTGGGTGACATTTCTTCCTGGAATTTTTCAGTTTGTGTATCACTACATTTCACAAGTGAACTACACATTTAGTGAACAAAGAAAGCTCAGATCTCTCCTTCATTTATAGCAGCTTCTCTGTTTCCGGCTGCTTACCGATGTTCTTGGAGTAAACAGGCACCAGCACATTAACCAGCCGCTCTGCAGCCAGCAGGCCAATGCACAGCAGCACGAGTCCCTGTAGCGCCACAGTGCCTTTGGGCCAGACATACGGCAGTAACAGTCTCACCTTCCTCCCAAAGCCTTGCCAGACAGATGGCAGGGAGGAGGAGGAAGAGGAAGAGGAGGAGTGTTGGATCTGCATGGAGAAGGAGGGAGAGGTGATGGGGAGACATGTATCAACAGTAGGCGTTAGCTGCAGCTACGTAGCTATCAATGAGTCCTCGTAAAACCAGATAAGTTCATTTAACTAAAAAACGTATTAAACTGATTACATCAAATTCTGTAAGTAAAACTAACTACATTTTGAAGGTCAAAAAAACATTCTTGATTAAGTAGCTTTATTAATTTTAAGTGAGAATGACTTAATTTTGTAAAAAAACCTAGTAAAGTTATTAATCAGGAATGCTTCTTTAACTTACAAAAACTAAGTTAGTGCCACTTAAATTACTAGTAAAAGTGTCTTAATCAAGAAAAAAGTGGGTTTGTGTTACTTAAAGATTTTGATTAAATCCGTTTCAACATCGATAATTACATTTATATTTTGTTTTACAGTGAAGCAACAGCTTAATGCTACCCCTAACAGCCAGAAAGCATAAATAACTTATGCAACTGAATTGAAAAGATTGAAGTGGTTGTTTTACCTAAACTGGTCACAAGGGGCAACAACGAGCCCATTCTACACTCAAACTAACTTGGACTATTGCCACACAAAAGTGAGATTTGTGATTTATCAAGTGTTTATTTTTAACACCATGTTTACGTTTCACAAGCTAGAGGTCAAGGATGATGGTTGGTTTGGCACATGCATGTCTGAATAACTTTCCCACCTCCAATAAAGAGCAGCACACATACACCTCATAAGATTCTCAAAAGGAAGCATGTGGTGTTAAAGGCGTCTACCTCAGTGGAAAAACATAAAAATTATACATATACGCCACACTTGCCTGTTGCTGGGATACGTAATTGCTTCCAGTATTAGAAATGGCTCTGATAATGCTGAAAATGCGTTATCGGGTATCGCGTATTGGCGGGTGCATCGCAATCTGGCATCAAAATTGGTATGAGGAAGGAACAATTGGTATCGAACATCAAATTTGATGCGGCAGAAAAGATAGTGTCTTTTTAATTGCACACATTCTTCAAACCGGTGCTAAAATACAACTTGACCACCAACAGTTCAGTGGAAGATTGGGGTATGTTATGCTAGTAGAGGCTAATGATCAAGCAGAGTAAGCTTCTGTAAGCTCCTTCACGCTCCTCCACACCCTCGGATTCGTTTTCATTTTCAGACTGAACCCAGAGTTCACTCCATTTGGTGCCACTAAAGGCTTTTTTGCCACATAAGTAGTACTCCCCCAGCCCTGTAAACAGACTTTGACCTCTCCTTTAACAAAGTGAACCTTCTGTCAATTGAACACAAGGTGTAAAACTAATTATACACTTGACAACTGAGGCTTTAGTGTCAGTCTGTGTCTGAAATCGAAAATAAATAAACTACTAATTACTAATTTGTAAGAACTTACCTCAACCTTTATGGCTCCTCTTTTTCCTCCTCTTCCACTCTTTACAGTGATGTCTGCCATCTGATTCCCCTCCAGCTTATTGTGGAGTAAAACTCATTCCTTCAGCAGCAGAACAACTACAAGCCACACACACACACACACACACACTAGTTACAGGATTAGCAGCAGATATTTCATTAACTGGAGCTGCATTAGGGCTGGAGAGTTTAACCTGCTGCGATGGTTTTTAAAAGCAGTCAGAGTGACTCTATACATACACACACACAAACACAC